AGGGGAAGGGGGTGCAGGCGGAGTCCTTCGGGACATCCGTTAAAATTGGAACGATACAGAGACGGATAAATTAGCAAATGGCCCCAGGCCTGCACAAGGATGACACGCATAAATTGAGAAATGGTCCAAAACACACACACACACACACACACACACACACACACACACACACACACACACACACACACACACACACACAGTTTCCCGTCTAGGCTTGATGGGAACTCTCACCCTTTGAGAGACCAGAGTCTTCTTAGGCAGAGTCATATGAGGGAGGGGGGTGGGATCACCATTTCTGAGCGAAAGACTTGTTGACTTGCTCCGGTAAACTGTTTGGACTACTCTCGGAGGTATAAGTTTGAGACATCTCTTTTTCATATATAGAGTGAAAAAGGGATAACAAAAACGTACCTGTTCAAGGTTAATGATATACACTTGAGGGGAAGATGCTGCAACGAGGAGGTTGCAGGAAGCTGTGTCATACGTCAGATCCCGGCCAACCCTGCACACCCGTCAGCACACCACAACACCAACAGAACCCGTCCGTCAGTGAACCGACGGATGGCACAACATCGTAAAGTTCTCCAAAGGCATACTTGCTGTAGGACTATTTTCGACTGAATCTGGTCACAACTTCAATCACATACATCAAGGAGTGCTCGTTTGCAACCGATGACAAATCACCCGTCATCCCATGCTCCCCGGAACCCTGCCCGGGGTTCACGTCCGACCGGGCACCCGGGCGTGTATGCCCGGACAAACAGCCCAGTTGCTTGAAAACCAATTTATACACCCCTTTCCCCCTTGACCGCCAACACTCAAAAGGAGAAAGGAGCGAGCCCAGATTTGAGCTCCTCTGGGCACACACAGAAAAAAAAAAAAAAAAAAAAAAAAAAGGAAAGAAAAAAGGGCTGATATCTGCCTGCACGGCGTGTGCCATGCAGGTCAGCCCTGGGCGACTTGCCCAGGGTGCACGGCCGTGCTGCTGCACTGCCGGGTGAGCCACGTGGCCCAGTAGTGAACCAAATATATGAATAGAAATATAAGAGAGAGGAAGTCAATTAAAAATACAGAAAACAAGCATGAACATGAAAAAAGAGGAATACAAAATACAACTGCAAAAGAAAAGAGAGGAATACAAATACCGACACTAGATAGTAAATATGAATACAATATCATACAAAGACGATGAATAACGAGTCTAAACATTTCATGAATATAACAAAATGAATTGGGAAAGGAAACAAGATGAAAAGAGCGACTCAGACGTATTCGCCGAACCGCATCAGGCATGGACTTCCGGAACAGATCAGGAAAGATGGAACAGATGGGCAGGTGGACAGATCAGGAAAGAAGGAGGCAGTGTGTGTGCGGTAGCGTGAAGAAGTACGCAGTACCTGGGCACTCTGGTCTTGAAGTACGCGCCAAATCGGGCATGGAAGTGGACAGAGCGGTCGCTGCAGATAAAAACAAGTTTAGAGAAATCTTCGCTTAAAACCTGGAATAANGGGGGAGAAGCGAGAAGAGCATTAGGATTTCAAAAATGGAGTCCCTGAGGACTTTGTTTTTCTGTCATTTTTAGCATTGATTTAAATTTCCAATACAAAACTGGGAAAATGAAGGGAAAGGTCTTTTCTGTCATTTTTAGCATTGATTTAAATTTCCAATACAAAACTGGGAAAATGAAGGGAAAGGTCCTCAACTGCACACAACCTTGCTTCCTCCTTTTTAGCGTTTCGGGGTTCAGGGTTCTGTGTTTAGGGTTTAGGGTTTAGAATTCAGGGTTTCGGGACTTCTCGCATGGGGGGTCTTTCATAAACACCCTACTCGGAGCTTGCCGACAAATCAAGCATGCGCAATTTTACTAATTTCCTGAAAATCAGACTGGGCATTTTCATGGTTTTCTACGAGTTGTACATGTCCAAGGCGATGGAGTAGTTGAGCGCAGATTCAGCGTTTCATAGGATTAGCTGGAAGATGCCATTGCGCCGGAAATAGTATGTTTGTATTCGGCAGTAGCAAGATTCGGATTAGGTCCGGTGAGACCCCCTTGCTCTGGGACATCATCTTCTGGTCCTATGCCGAAACTGGTCACTCCTGATTTCCTTGAGACCCCCTTGTGGGCCCGTCTTTAAATAGGCCCCAGGTGGTCCCTCCTGATTTCCTTGCGACCCCCTTGTGGACCCGTCGTCTTTGAATAGGGCCCAGACTCTAGGACAGTTTTTATTTTATTTTATTTTTAATACCATGCAGTTTGTGTCCAGATTACAGCAGACCTTTTGTCCTTCCTTTTTTTATCTTCTCCCTTTCTTTTGCGCTCTTTTTCACTGGCTAGGTTGTGTTTACAGGCAAAAAAAAAAAAAAAAAAAAAAACAGTTCTGCTATTTTTTCTTACCCTGCATCGAGTCTGTTTTCAGACATTTCGTTCCAATCCCACTTCTTCTTTTTTTTGTCTCAGAGTGCCGATGAGGCCAGTCAGTGTCTGTTTGTAGCGGCACCGCTCAAAATTCTATGTTTGCGACCTGAAGGCAGGGAATTCCGCAAGGCCAGACCAATTGTTAACCCTCGTGCAAATCTACACTACGAAATAAAATACAGGCGTGGTGACCTTATCTGGTCAGAACTGGGACCTTATCTGGATATGGGTGGGACCGTATCTGGGCAACTTGGACCTTGTCTGGATATGGGTGGGACGTATTCCGGGTAACTGGGAACTTATCCGAGTAATTAGAACCTTATCTGGATAGCTGGGACCTTATCTGGGCAACAGGGACCTTATCCGGGTCTGGATTTGGGTGGGACCTTATCTGGGCAACAGGGACATTATCCGGGTGATTGGGACCTTATCTGGATATCAGGGACCTTATCTGATCATGTGTGGTTCCCTTATCCAGGTAACTGCGACCTTATCCGGGTAATTAGAACCTTATCCGGATTCTGAATTCTCCTTGGTACCACCGTGGAGATTTGAGTTGGCATATAAGTTCGCATCCTAGTTGGCAGCTGCAGTAAGTGCCAACTCAGGTGCCCACTCAAGTCCCAACTCAGTTGGCACCCTGGTTGGCAGCTAAGGTAAGTTCCAACTCAGGTGCCCAATTCAGGTGCCCAACTCAGGTGCCAACTCAGGTGCAAACTGAGTTGGCATGCTAGTTGGCAGCTGAGGTCAGTGGCAACTCAGGTGCCGCTTACCTCAGCTGCCAACTCAGGTGCCGCTTGCCTCAGCTGCCAACTCAGGTGCCAACTGAGCTTGCATCCGAGTTGGCAGCTGAGGTAAGTGGCAACTGAGTTGGCGCCTGAGTTGATCTACTGTGTAATTGAGTCATCCAACAACAATGACAGTGACCCAAGAACACCGCTAACTCCGTACTAGCTGCCAGAACAAACAGCTCATTCGGATACCAGAGGCCGAAAGCATGGTCCAAAAAAAAAAAAAAAGGAAAGCACGATCAAGAATTTCTGAAAACGAAGTACGCCAAGCTTTTTCCGAACCGCCAGCGGTGCACTTTTTTCCTTTTTTGGCGCGCGTGCTGCCAGCCATTGTGGTCCGGTAGCCCAAAAAAGTTTGGAGATGGCAACTCGTGATTTTTCTGCAAGGCTGCTGGGGAAATGCACTTGCGGGTTTAAGCAATCGCACAGCACTCCAGCAACTACGGGAAAACAACCGGGACAAAAAAAAAAAGGATAGCACAGCCCTCCAGCAACTAATGGAAAACAACCGGAAAAAAAAAAAAAAAAAATGGGTACAGCACAGCCCTTTGCCTAATCCTGTAGGTCTGTTTCAGAACGTGACAGCACAGCAGCACAGGTTTAGCTCCCCTGGTCAGAAAGAGAGTCAGTAAGTTGCTTTTCTGCGGGCTATCTGTGGGCTATAAAAGCTCCGATGTTCCTCCATCCCCCTTTTTGAGGGCACCACAGCATGTAAGACTTGGTGGACCTTGTCCGCGTAGAATCTAAGGAGGCCACCTTGTTGAGGAGAAACAGTCACTCACGAAGGAACCATACACCTTTTCACAGAGAGGAGTAAGTACACGCCTTTCCACGGAGAGTATGGAGAGTATTACACATCCATTGTTTCCGTCTTCCCACACATTCCTATCCATCATGGTTCACGATTATTCTTTTGTCACAACGTGTCCAATTTCAGGTGAGCTGCAACGGGATACTTGTGACAAACAAGGAACGACAGTAACCACGAAGACGACAACAACAATAATATAGTTGTCAGTGGTGGCAGTGGTGATGGTTCTGACTGATTGATGGCAATGAAGAAAACGCTCACGGACACGGCAGTACAGTGCTCGGGCAGCAGCAAGGGAAGTGTGTATGTTCGCCCTTGCTGGTGCATCCCCTTGCTGGTTGGGAGTACACCTTGTTGCTGATGTCGGGGTACACCGTTGGCGGTGCACCCCCTTCCTCGTGGATGCACAACCCTTTGCTAATGTAGCCCTTTGCTGGTGTCAACCCTTGCTGACGTACACACTTGCTGAAGTGCCCCTCCTTGCTAGTTGGGGTACAAACATTTGCACATGTACCCCTTGCTGGTGTCAACTCTCTGTGGGGTACTCCCTCGCTGGCCTATACCGTTGCTGATGTAACCCCCCTCGCTGATGGGGTGCTCATGTACCCCCTTGCTCGTTCGCGTACAACCCTTTGCTAATGTAACCCTTTGCTGGTGTCAACCCTTGCAGGGCACTCCCTTGCTGGCATGCACACTTGCTGATGTGCCCCTCCTTGCTGGTTGGGGTACAAATATTTGCACATGTACCCCTTGCTGGTGTCAACTCTACGTGGGGTACTCCCTTGCTGCCCTATACCGTTGCTGATGCAACCCCCCCTCGCTGGTGGGGTGCTCATGTACCCCACCCCCCCACGTTTGCCGGCGTGAAGGCGTAACCCTTGCTGCCTTGCTGGTTGGTGTACACCCTCCTGAGTTTGTTCCCATCATGATAATGATCATCATCGCTCTCACGGAATGTTATTCCTTGTCGGACAAGGACTGTATACTTCCACATTTACAGCCAGATTCTGCCCAGAAGGTCCAAGTGTGAGTATGACCCTGAACTTTTCTGGTCAGAATGACAAGGGGAGGCGGATGGGAAGAGGGGGAGGGGGGCGGAAGGAAGCACAATGGGGGTGAGAACAATATGATGATAAACCAATGGAGATGATGTCAACGAGGATGGCAAGGGGCTCACAAACCTGGAAATCAACCACCTCAGAGTCGAGGTTACGTTGAAACTTCATAGATAGCTGACTCAACTCGAATGTGCGTATTTGGGGAGGGTAAACACCTGGCCAACACACACAGCCAAAGAACACACCATGTAAACAACTATGCAGCCTCAATCGTCCACAGCTATTTCAACTTCTTGAATTCCTATTCACTTCAATGGTTACCAAGGCACAGCAAAGCAAATATTCCGTTCCAAGCCCACCAATACAGAGCAGATCTCTGTCTCTGTACAACTCTCTCTCTCTCTCTCTCTCTCTCTCTCTCTCTCTCTCTCTCTCTCTCTCTCTCTC